GATGAGTGTAACATTGGAATGAGCTTATATCTTTAAAATCGTCAATAGTTAAGAAAGTACAAGGTATTTTAACAAATATCTCGTGAACTATTGACATTTTTTAATATATAAGCTCATCCTGATGTTACACTCATCAAGACCTTCCATTTGAGTACCCACATTATTTTTTCATATATTTTATATATTTATATATTTCACAAATACCATATATATATAAAATATATAAAAATTGCCATGTGGGTACTTAAATGAAAGGTCTCGATGAATGTAATGTCGAAGTGAGCTTAGATCTTTAAAAATGTCAATGGTTCTCAAGATACAAAGTCTTTACTAAATAATAACTTTTGTTGAATTGCACTGTACTTTCTTAATTATTGACATTTTTAAAGATATAAGCTTATCCTGATGTTACACTCGTCAAGACCTTTCATTTGAGTACCCACATGCATTTTTGATATATTTTTCATATATACATATATATAAATATATAATATATATAAATATATGAAAAATTGATGTGGGTACTCAAATGAAAGGTCTCGAAGAGTGTAATGTCGGGGTGAGCTTATATCTTTAAATAATTAAAATTTGTTTCAAACTTTTATTTTAATTTTAACGAAATTATTAAAATTTATTTTTGTCAAATTTTTTACTACAAATTTAATTTAAAAAAATGAATATCTAATTTATTTTTTTTTAATATAATTATAAAAAATTAATTTCTCAATTTTACCAAAATTCATACTTTATAAATTTTTTAAAAATAAATTTTATAAGTGAATATAACTAATAAAATTTTAGACTTTAGAAAAATCTTTTAAGAAAGTAATTTTCAATAAATTCAATTAAATACAATTAAAAATTTCATCTCACCGCTGAAAAATTAAATTATAAGTAATTAAAAGACTATCAGTGAGATTAAATTTAATTTGTAGTTTTAATCAAAAACCACTATCAGATTATTATCGCCTATAATTTAAGTTAAATTGAATTTTTTTTTATTCTAATTAAATGATTAATTCAGATAAAATAAAAAATGGAAGAAATTTGACTCTTTTAACATAAAAAATAATCTTCAATAAATAAATCACTAAAATTATTTAATCAAGTAATAAAATAGAATTTATATTTTTACAATCCGAGATAAAGGTATATAATCTAAAAAGATTTGAGCATTTATATACTTTATATACCACTTAAAAATTTTTTTTACACCTAGAAATTAACGTTAAGTAACTAGTACAGAGAGTACGCACCGATTTTATCTCATAATTTTTGTTATCCTGGTCTAATCACGATAATCACTCGGTTATCAAAATATGTGATCATACAATATTTGTTGGTCATGCTATCGCAACTAGATCATCTTCAAAAGTTATTATCCGTTTTTTATATTACATAAAATACTGTTCCCAAAAAAAAAAAAATTAATTAGTTTTATTTAATTAAAAGAGTTTTTTAATATTTACTAATTATTAATAATAATAATAATTATTATTATTATTATTATAATAAAGATACGTAGAGAGTTTTGTTTCCGTTGAATAAAATTACCATATTGACCTGCAATAATAAAAATTATTAATTTAAATAAATAAGAGTTTAATTACTTGTATAAATTAAAAAAAATTTTTTTTAAAAATTTTTAATTACTCCCCTAGTGTAAAAAATTTCTATAAAAAAAAAAGAATACGCAGAAATACTCTGGTTATGCATCTTAAAATTAATTTTTAAATTAATGAATAACATTTTTGAGGAAATTTCCGATAAATTTACTCATTAAATAATTATTAACATTTAATTGACTAATAAAAAATATAGCACTGATTTTTCATAAAGAATATAATGAAAATAAAATTTTTTTTAAATCGTTAATTGCATTAAATTCTTAACCAAATACACGGCTGGTGGAATCTCCATTTACTTACATGTAAAAATTACAATTTTCAAACCTAATTATTTGATTAAATATCCCGGAAACCTGTTTTATAATTTTTTAATTAATTATTAGACTATCTAGATTGAATTTACAAATTTTCAGAAAATTTTAAAATGCTTCCCGTTGATCTCCTCAAAAATTCTTTAAAAATAGCGGCCATTTTAATTTTTCACAAAAATCTGCCATTTTGTTGAATTCTCACCTGTAGAAATTAAAAAAAAACAATTTTCTTCATTTTTTAATAATATTATCTCAAAATTATTTAAAAATTTAATAGGATAATTAATTTAGCAGATACTCAATAATTTTAAGAATTTTTGTAAAAAATAAATTATAGAACGAAAAAAAATTGACAAGTAGAGATTTAAAAAATTAAAAAATAATTTTTTAGAACAAATTTGTTTGTTAAAAAAAATTGAAAAATGGTTAAGTGACAGCTAATATAACTTTAACGTAGTCATAAATTTAACTTGTTTCATAAAAAATGAATAAAAAGTTAGCCGACATCTAAAAATTGTTATGATTTTTTTTATTAAAAAATTATTATAAAAAAATTTATTCATTTGTTAAAAACCTCAAAAAGTACAAGTGCATTTTTTTAAAAATATTTTTTAGTTATAATAGTTATAATTTAATAAATTAAGACAAAATAATAAAAAAAATCAAAAATGTCGGCTAACTTATAACAATAAAGTTAGCCGACATTTTTAATTTTTTGATATTTTTTTTAATAATTAAATTAGATCAAAAAAATATTTTTAAAAAATTGCACTTTCAATTTTTCAAGTTTTTTACAAATGAATTTTTTTTTTTATTTTTTTCTATTAATTTTTTCAATAAAAAAAAAATTCTAAAAATTTTTAAATGTCGGCTAATTTAATTTTCATTAATTTGTTTAATAAAAAAATAGATTTTTCTTATTTTTACTAAAACCAAATTAAATATTTAATTTGTAATTTTGCAAATGTATAAAAAAGTACTTAAAAAGCAGAAAACTGCACTCAGCAGTCGATAATTCCAAGAGGTCGCTCCAGAGCTAAAAATAAATAAAATAAATGAAATAAACTGCGAACCAGCATCTAAACAATATCATAACGGTATAATTTGTGATAATCGTAAAGAGTACTCACCAGAAGCACGCTTAAAACAACAATGACAACAAATAAAAAAATACTAGCTGATGAACAATAGAGCAAGCCGATAATCCACTCGACTGAATAAAGTGAATAAAATGAATAATTATAACAATGAACAATGAAAAATGAGTAATGAGTATCTGCAGTACCAACACAACACTTGCCAGTCATCAGAATATTAGCGGTCATAGCCTAGCGTTCGTGTCCAGTCTTTTAGTTTTTATCTTTATCTTCCAGTATAAGTACAGTAGCAGTATCCAGTGGAAGTGCAAGTGCACAGTTATAATTCTTAGTGCGTGTCTCCGTTCTTAGCTCTGTGTATGTTAATTAGCATCACTAGCACCTAAAAAAATTATAATAACATTATTGCACATTTTAATGCACTTGCTCAGTGCATAACACATCATTAATTATAAAAAAAAAAAAAAAAAAATTATTATTTAATTCACTTTAATTTTTTCAATTATTAAAAATTTATTTTTAAAATTTTCTAAAATAAAAATAAAAATAAAAAAATAATTTATAAATAATAAAAATAAAAAATAATTTAAGGTTAGTCAGTGCGTGTGCGTAATTTTTCAAGGATTTTATTTTTATTATTATTTGAGTTTAAAGACCTGACTTTTGTTATTGTATTACTTGCAGAAATATATTTTTGGATTTAGTTTGTTGACTTGAGCAACTTGAGCATTGAGTCGTATTCAGGAGCTCGAGCGCATTGCATCTAATCAAGAGAGTGAAAAAAATATTTATATATTATTTTTAAATAGTTAAAGATGGCAGCTGACTATGACGAGACACATTTTTTTTTTAAATGATTGTTCTTGAAACTGAGGCGTGAATTTTAGTTTGAGTGTTGTAATTTTTTAGAATTTTTTTGTGTGTTTGTTGCTGGATTTTGGTTATAATGTCGCGGGTGTCGCTCAACAAATCTCAGTACAGCCAGTACGGCTCCAGGCGAGTTAGAAAAATTAGCACGGTGGGTTTATTTGTTTTTGTTTTGTTTTATCTAATGGCTTTTTTTTTTAGGAAATTTTTAGTGCGTTAAAAAGACCTTGTAGGTTGTATGGGTTGATCCGAGTGATAAGTTAGATTAGATCGAAGCGTTAGACAGAGTATGTGTGAAACACTGATAAGAAGTTTTGTCATTGTTGACAATTTTTATTGTTCAGTTTTAACAAAGAATTTTTTTTTATTTTGATTTTGATCATTTTTAGGAATTTTTTATCATTTTTATATGTCAATTTTTTATGATAAAGTTAGCTGTCATTTTACAATTTTTTAATTTTTTTTAACAAAGAAATTTGCTCCAAAAAATTATTTTTAAAAAATTGAATTTTTAATTTATAAATGTTAATTTTTTTGACATTTATTTATTAAAAAAATTCTTAAAATGATTAAATATCACCTAAATTAATTTTTTTTATGACTTTAAAATTAGCAGTCATTTAATTATTTAAAAAAATTTTTTTAACAAACAAATTTGTTCCGAAAAATTGCATTTTTTATTTTATAATTTTCATCATTTTTTTTTAAATATAAATTATGACAATAAATTAAAAAAAAATTTAACATGTAAAAATTATTAAAAATTCTTATTGAAAAATTTTCTAACATTTATTTATTTATAAAAAAAAAAATTAAAAAATGATCAAATGTCTGCCAATATTGTCAAATTACTATTTTTATAAAATAAAAGGCATTTGATAATTTAAAAAATTTTTTTTAATAAATAAATTATGACAAAAAAAAAAAA